TCATATTGGTAAGAATTTTGATTGTTTAGGTAATGTTTCATACCATGGTTATTATAATATTTAAAGGAACCCAAGCATGAATGAAGTTAGCGATAGTTACACACTGTCAGTTTAATTTTTAATTGTTCATATTCAATTGGAATTCATTCATATATATGTGTGTGTATTATTGCAAATCATATTCATAAATTTTTTTATATGTTGGTAGTTTGGATCAAAGTTTTATCAGATTTACAAATAATTGGATTCAAACTAAGATTGTTAATGTAGCTTTAGTCACTTTGTATATATTTTTGGCTTTTTTATGTAGTTAACTTCTAGTTTTCAACATTGTTTTGCTGCGAGTTAACATTTATGATATTAACCAATTGTTTGTTACCTGTTTAAACAGTTTGGGACAGCGACCTTGCTTCAGTACTACTACTGTTGCATCTGATTCCACCATCTGCTCAAGGCCGGAAGAGACCAGGGAAAGTTTCTGCTTCTCAAGCAGAAAATCATCTTGTTGTCTTCAAGAAGGTTTGTTTGCTGGTTTTATTTAATGATTGTTCTGTCATAGTTTTTTATTATTTAACTTGTTAGTGATGTTTCTTTTTTACTTGCTTGCTTTTTTTTAGAGTGGAACAAACATTGAGGAGCAGCTGCAAGACATCTCTGCGAGCGCTCAGCCCTATCTCCTGGCTGTAGGTCCTCAGAAGGATTCAATTCACCAGTTCTTCATCATCCTTGATCAGCATGCCATTCCATGCAAGTCCACCTCTTCTCTTGGTGCCTTTGATGAACTGTTTAAGGCACATTATGTTTTTGGCACCTCTTACAACACCATGCTGCACAACATGTACACTTTCATTCAAACCACTGTGTACAACATAGATGTTGGGAAAGTTAAAGAAAGTCCTCGTGTTGCTGAGGTTAGGGCAAGGCTGCTTAACTAGGTGCCTAAAGTTCCAGTGCACTCATGAAGTGTTTTGTTTGTGAGACTGAATTAAATGGTTCAAAAATGCTTGTTAGGCACTTCAGATTTGTTCATGGTTTGGTTCCTGGAAAGAGCCTTCGACTTAAATGTGTAGAGGCAGGATGCGGTTCTGAGTTTGGTACCTTCTCAGGTTTTAGAAAACATTTGAATATAAAACATCCTGAACAATGTGAACAGAGTTGTGACCCTAGTGGCATCTGTGAGACAGAGGAAGAAAATAGTGCTGCAATGTTTCACCAGAGTGACAGTGCTGAAGATGTGGCCACAACATCTGTTATGTTAAAGTCTAATAAGAACACTTTAGATATGTGTGCGTCTGCTGTTGCACAACTGAAAGTTGCTGGTTTAAGTCAGTCTGCAATAAATGGTTTTGTTTCATCTATGGAAGAAGTGGTTTTTGAGATTCATAGTCAAGCCCAGGATGCAGCTTTGCTCTGTCTATCTTCTGAGGACACTGTTAGTAAAAGAAAAATAGAGGAATCTTTTACAAATTTAGAAAATCCATTTACTTTGTTAAATTCGGAAGTCAAGCGACAGCGACTGTTTACAGCGAAATGGGGAATTGTTGAACCTAGTGAAATAGTACTCGGCACAAGATTTGACAGCAGAAGAAATAAAACTACAGGAACATTTGATCAAGTTGTTGTGACTGATAAATTTTCTTATATTCCCATTTTAGAAACACTAAAGACAATTTTAAAAAATCCACAACTTACCCATTTGTTTAAACCCAGACACATTTCAAAGGAAGGAATTTATGTGGACTTAAGTGATGCAGCACATTTTAAAAGCAGTCCTTTATTTTCTACAGAAAAAGATGCCTTACAAATTCAGTTATTTTATGATGATTTTGAGACAGCTAATCCACTGGGCTCAAAGAAAGGTATACATAAATTGGGTGCAATCTATTTTTCATTAAGAAATTTCCCACCAGTTTTTAACTCCTCACTGGTTAATATTCATTTATGTGCCCTCTTTCATGCACAGGATGTTAAGCGCTATGGTTTTAACTCCATAATTGAGCCCCTGGTCAATGATCTGAAAGTGCTTGAAATTGAGGGAGTTAAGAATCCAGTGTCTGGAAGATGCATCAAGGGTACTATCGTTCAAGTCACAGGGGATAACCTAGGTCTGCACAGCTTGTTTGGCTTTCTGGAATCATTTGGGGCTCGATATTGTTGTCGTTTTTGTCTGCTTGAGAAGCATCAGTTTCAGTCAGTGTTCTCTGAAGATAGTCCTGAGGTTGAACTAAGAACTGCTGAGATGCATGCTCTGCATTGTGAAACTTTACAGTCTGATTCTACACTACCTCACGTGTATGGTGTCAAAAGGGCATGCTTATTAAATTCCCTCAAATATTTCAACACAGCCACCAATTTTGCTGTTGATATAATGCACGACATTCTAGAAGGAGTTGCCCAGCTAGAGGTAAAACTTGTTCTGCAGTACATTCAGCATAATTTTCTGAGTGCCAATGATCTTGATGGTAGAGTACATGCTTTTGACTATGGTTACAATCAGCAGAGAAACCGTCCTCCAAAAGTCAAATTGCTTGATGGAAGCAATGATTTAGGCTTAAATGCTATTCAATCTTGGTGCTTTTTGCGCAATTTGCCTTTAATATTTGGAGATTTAATACATAAAGATGATAAACACTGGCATCTTTTGCTTTTACTTCTGCAGATTGTTAACATTGTCTTTTCACCTGTCTTAACAGATGGCATGACCACTTATCTTAAACATTTGATAATTGAACATCATCGGCTATTTAAAATGTTATTCCCCCAAAAAAATCTTCTGCCAAAACATCACATCATGATACATTACCCACAATGTATAAGGAAAATTGGTCCAATTTTGCACACATGGTGTATGCGTTATGAAGCTAAGCACAAATTCTTTAAAACACAATTAAAAAGTTTCAAAAACATCACCAAAACACTAGCCAAAAAGCACCAGAGTTGTATGGCAATGTATTGGGAGTCTTTTAGCCAGTACAGACTGACTCTTGGCCCAGGAAAGATGGTGGAACTCAGGGAAATTAGAGGTGGCCCAGAGATTGCTTCAAAATTAGGTGTGGTAATATCTGAAATAGTCTATGCTGTAAAGTGGATCAAACATCATGGCACAGAGTATCGTCCTGACTTTATTATCTGCACAGAAGTAGCAAATGAGATGCCAGTGTTTTGTAAGATCATGACTCTAGCTGTCAAAAATGAAAATGTACTGTTATGTGGCACACTAATGGAAACTGTATGTTTTGATGAGCATTACTATGCTTTTACAGTCAGACTGCATCCAGAAAAAGTTTTAACAGTTGTCAATGTTAATGAGCTGTGTTATTTCAAACCATTTGATCTTCAAAGAAAATATGGTACAACTGATTCTGTACTTCATATTGTACCATATTGCCATTTTATGCAGACTTGAAATTTTTGCACTGTATTTTTGTAAGCCTGAATGTTTTAATAAAAGTTTTAACTGATATTGAGTTTCGTTTTCTGTTTTATTTGTTGTTTAATGTTTTTTTAGTATGTTCAGTAGCATTAAAAAATTGCACCAGAGTGAAATAATGACAGTTAAAGCAACACCATATGGGTTGTAAATCAACTCTTTATTAGTGATGTATTAACATTTAACCGGAGTTGATTTCTGTTTGGTGTTAAATTAAGGAACACCAGACAGAGTTAATTTCTGTTCAGAGTTAAACAGCTTAACAATTTTCAGTGTTGACCAGTGTTAAATTTTAACTCAAAATTTAGTTAATTTTACTCTGAAAATATAACACAATGAAAAGTGTTAATTTAACACCAATTCTGAGTGGGACCAAATACACTCACGTGCAGTGTTAAATTTAACTCTTTAAGAGTTTATTCAACACAGCAAAATTTACTGTGTGGTGATATTCAAATGTGGTTTCTGAAATGTTGATAAAAACGTGTCAGTGTTATTGTACAAGATATAAATATGTGATTTTTTAAATTTCACATTGTTTTTTCATTCTGTTTTTGACAATTTAGTACAAACAATAAACAAATTTAATTTCCAATTTAGGGCGTCACTGTGGCGCAGTGGGTGGCATGATCACCTTTACAGCAAGAAGGTCCCTGGTTCGAGTCCAAGCTATTCAGTTGGCATTTCTGTGTGGAGTTTGCATGTTCTCCCTGTGTTGGTCTGGCTCCTCTGGGTGCTCCGGTTTTCCCCACAGTCCAAAGACATGCACATTAGATAAATTGAATAAGCTAAATTAGTTGTAGTCTATGTAGGTGGTTTCCAGTGTTGGGTTGGGGCTGCAAGGGCATCTGTTGCATAAAACATATGCTGGATAAATTGAGGGTTCATTCCATTGTGGCGACTACTGATTGATAAAGAGACTAAGCAAAAAAGAAAATGAATGAATGAATTTCAAATTTAATTTAAGCACTTTCAAGGACCCGTGTAGGTTTTTAAGTACTTTCAATGCCTTGAATCCATATGTCTGAAATTCAGTACTTTTAAGAAGCGTGGAAACCCTATGTATATTGAATAATGATCATTAATATGGGCTAGAAAAATATGAACTACCCAACGCAA